AGTCACAGACTATTACTCACGAACAACAGGCCAAATTATTCAGCCAGGTTGAGGATTAGCTGCTGTAACATCACAAGCTTTTCCTTTAAGGCCTCTTAGCACCAGCCCTTTCATCTCACATGTGCGCTCCACCCTCAGTGGGTTGCCTCTCTTCCAATGTGTCCTCCACCATGCTGCTGATTTCTCCTGTCTCTGTTTTGCGGCTGTCAGCGAGATGAGAGAAAAGGCAGAGTAGGAAGCAAGAGCTCTCTGCAGGGATTCGGCTTCTCAGAGTGATAAAATAGCTGTGATCTTTTTTTTTCAGCAGAATCAACATTCTGTTTGTGTTTCCCCTTATCTACGTTTACACCCATGTCATTTTTTGCTTTTATTGATGCTGTATTGCCTCTTCATTTTGGATTTCACTGGGTGTGAAATGCCAAACAAAAGAATGGGACCCTGTGCACTCCTTTCGCCTCCGGTTATTTTATCTCCCTTTCAGAAAATGATTTGAAGTGTTTCAAATGCAAAACAAGGTATCCGGTCATGTTTTCCCTGTGTCAGTAAAGGCATCTTCAAGCAGCACAATAATGGCTTTGCAAGTAAAAGGAAGTCAGATAAACTTAGGGAGGAAATTGAAATATTACAGGCGACAGTGCGAGCAAACAGGATGATTACCACTGTGCTCACCAACCCATTCACACATTCCTCCTCATCCCTACAGCGATCTGGGTTAGTAATGGTGTTTCTTGCTGCCAGAGCGTGGAAGCAGTGACATTAAAGGGCGGCAGCAGCCAGTAATGAGTCGTTAAAAGAGAGATTTGGAGCTTTACTGATCCGTTTCCATACCAACTGTCTTAGCTGTGGGGTTTGGATCCTCTCGATGTTTTGGGGGGGAAAGGAGGAGCTGGGGACGGGTGTAATGGGATTTGGGGAAGCGCTTCTAGGTATAACTTCAACACACAAACACACACACAATCCATATGACAAAAACTGTGTATGTGTGTGTGTGAGTGCTTCAAAGCTGTTATGTTTTGCAGCAATCCATCGTGACAGGCGGAGAGCCGCGAGCCTGCAACTCATTCTAATTTGTCTTGATTTTTATTGACTGATTCTCTCCGTCCTCTCCTTGTTCTGTTGTGTTTTTCCCTGCTGCCTTTTGTTCTGGAAATGTACATAAAAACAGTCAAGGGTGGGAGATGTACTCGCACTGAGAGGAGCTGCTGCGTTGCCATGACAACCAGGCGTTTGCAAAAATCAGCGTGATGCCAACTCTCATCCAGGATCACATATGGGCTTGTGTGTGTGTGTGTGTGTGTGTGTGTGTGTGTGTGTGTGTGTGTGTGTGTGGGGGGGGTGGGGGGGGGGGGGGGGGACAAAGACGCTGGCAGGCAAGCAAACAAGCACACATACTGTACATGCATGTGTATGTGTGTGTGTGTGTGTGTGTGTGTGTGTGTGTGTGTGTGTGTGCGAACAACATGGATGGACTGGTCCAATGTAAAAGTAGATATTGCATTACATTGCGCCAGTTGTTTACACACTGCATTGCAATAAGGAGAAAATTAGGAATGAGACAAATGAGAAAAGAGAGACATAGAGATAACCAGAGAGAGAACGATGACAATGATAAGAGAAATTGGATTTGGGTTAAAGAAATTGTTATCAGAGAGCACCAACATCAAAGGCATCGTTGGCAGGGGGAAACTATGAAACTTACAAAAAAAAGTTTAATTTCACAAGTAATCTCCCACCCTGGGGCCCATGGGTAAAACAAAACTCTGTGAAGTAGATGAATTTAGCTAATCTTTCTCGCACAGCTTCAGGGGGATCACAGAGGCACAGGGAAAGAAAATTGCACTAGTGCCTAGTTTGGTGCTCAAATTTTATTAAACAGAGACGTCTCATTCCTCTGATATACAGAGCCTGGATGGTGGGTATGTCCCTGCTCTCAAACACAAGAAGAAAAACATGCTTTTGACCAGGATCTAAGAGGGAAATTAGTCTGAGAGGATGAAAGGCCTCTGCACTTACAGGCTGGAAACAATGACTGACAGCTGTCTCCTGTTTTGATGTTTTCTGCTGTGTGGATGAGAAGAGACTCGGCTGATGTTGCATCAAAACACAGTGCTGATACAGCAGCCAGGAGGGATGATGGATGGTTGGTGAGTGTGAGGGGAGGAACAGCAATCGGGTTTAGAGCTGAAATGATGAGATGAATCTGCAACTATTTTGAAAATTGATCAATCGATTAGGTCATTTTTAGAGATGTTCTATGGACGACAATGTTGGTCTACCACTTTGTTCTGTCGGAAACTGAAGATCAGTCACATCACACAATATCCTCCAGTCTTACAGACCTTTGATTTCAATACCAGAAGTTACATACAGGCATGCATATGGATCTCAGACTCACAAAGGCAGAGAGACCCTGAGAATATCACACAATCATTTATACTTCCAACCACGCCTGCAACCGTTATGCATGTCTGTCCTGTTTAGTGCTGATAACTACTCCTTGGTCTAGACATGGGGTCACAACCCCTACACTGACATACATCTTAGACACTTCTGACATTCAGCTATTGGACTTCTCAGTTTCCCATTTTTCATGTATTTTGGGTTATTTATATTTATATACTGAACAAAATTATAAACACAACACTTTTGTTTTTGCCCCCATTCAGCATGAGCTGAACTCAAAGATTTAAAACCATGTACACAAAAGTCCTATTTCTCTCGAATATTGTTGGCAAATCAAGATGCTGATCAGACAGCATGGGTATTGCAGAGTTGTGCCTTAGGCTGGCCACAATAAAAGGCCTTAGGCTGGCCACAATAAAAGGCCTTAGGCTGGCCACAATAAAAGGCCTTAGGCTGGCCACAATAAAAGGCTACTTGAAAATGTGCAGTTCTATCACACAGTACAATGCCACAGATGATGCATGTTTGTGGCATGATTCAAAGTTAATTTCAATTTGAATTTGAATTAACAAATTTTAACACACTGAACTAACATTGTGTACATGATAAACATGATTTATGCCTGTTTATGTTGGCATGTTAGCATGCTAAAGTTAGCATTTTATGTGATAGTAAATACAATATCTTTGTATATATATATATGATATACTTTGGGCTATTTCACAATTTTATTACATTTTATAAACCAAATGTTCTAGAAAACAATCAGCAGCAAAGTAATTTCTCTGTGTGCACCCTCACTGCATCTTTTGTGTGATTGCATTATATTTAGGATCTGATAAAAATGCATGTACAAGCTGGAAAAAGCTGAGCTGACCACTTCTCTCCAGCAGTACAGTCCAACTGCTGAGTGGAGACAAAACGTCCTGGCAGCTGGCTCTGTTTTTATCTGTACTGATCTGAAATGCTTCTTCCTGGATCAGCTTCAAATACAGCATCTTGAGGCAAAGCATTGAGGCAGTTTTGTCGAAAGCTATAATCAAAATGTGTGTTTTTTTTTGGATGAGTTTATGTTGCCATCAGCCAAAATCTTTTATTTTATTTCACAGCCAGTTTCTTTTTTGGATGTTTCCTCAAAAAGACGATTTAGTAGTTTTACAAAAATGAGCTGCAACAATAAGAAAAAAATGGACAAATGGGGAACATTAGTAGTGTTTTTCCACAGTAGTACCATTTTGATAAACAGCGTTTTGATAAACAGCGTTTTGACCTCTTGCAGCTCACTGTAGTGTAACTATATATCCACAGATGGGTGATAAATTAAAAGTAAAAACATCTTTTGTGCTCCTTGTGATATATTTTCCAAAGCTCTAAAATCTACTAGAGTGATGAACATTATTCTTCCTTCATTTGGTGTTTTGATGATGTCAGTGGAGAGCGCTGTGTAACACGCTGCTCCAACAATCTCCCATAGGTGTTCAGTTGAATTCTGATTTGGTGACTGTGAAGGTCAAAGCAAATGATTCACATAATTTTTATCAAACCATTCAGTGACTACTCGAGCCTTGTGAGTATTACTGTTCAACATGGTGTTTTTCCTTTAATTTCTCTCCAGTCTGTAGCAAGTGATTTGTTTTTCAAGTCACAAATAAGTCTGAAGTCTTCGCTATGAAGTCCAGATTCAAGTCCAGGTTGTAAATGTTGTGTTTTTCGAGTCCTAAACCATGTCATTAAGAGTAAACTCACATCATGTAATGGGTCACTGCACCAGGTCTAAAAATTCTGCTTGCCCTGCCAGCCTTGCACTATAGCACCACACTATGTCACAACTGGCTGTGGTCATGATTACAACAGACCACACCCAGCTGTGATGTTGCTTCAAGAGATTTATACCTTTTAACTGACCCATAGAGGTCAGTGCTGAATTATGACATTTTTGACTTGATTTGTAGATATACTTTGCATGTTGCTGACTGTTTTCTGTTAACTACTGCATAATCTCTACATGTGAATCTGGTAATATGTGCTTTCTCATTGCGTAAAAAATTTTTGCACTATTGTACTCTACTCTTATTTGTGATTTTCATATTTTCTACCACATAGTGTTGGATGTTTTTGGCTTAATTATATCAATGTTCCGATTTCCTGTGGTCTCTTGAGTTGCTGTGTTGCATGAATGAGTTAAATACAAGCAGGTGTATTTATCTAAGAGAATGTAGTCATCATCACCTTTACTAGGAGGAATTATGTGGGTAATGTTGAGCATCAAGGTGATGTTTGATTTGTCTAAAAGCCACAGAACAGACTGGATTATTGAATACTGCCATAAACATGCAAGAGTGCAAGCTTCATTTTCATTCAACATCTGTGTGTGTGAATGTGTGAGTCAGGGAATTTAGAAACATTCATTGCTCAGCTAAAGAGGTCATTTTTACCAGCATGGCCCAAATCTAAATATACAACAGAAGCAAATAGATTTGTGAAATTCAACAATTCATCAATGATTAATCACGCAGCTGACATATATATATATATATATATAGAGAGAGAGAGAGAGAGAGAGAGAGAGAGAGAGAGACGCTTGTGGCATCAGGTTTTTGCAGAGCTCAACACTATTTCACCCAGGATTGGCATGGTGTGTGTGCGTCTGTGTGTGATTTCCGTTTTCCATCCCGTGAAGCGTTTATAGTGCCGCACCCTGTCTTCTGTGCGTAAAACCTCCAACGTACATCATCATCACACCCCACGTTTCTTCCAGCAGCGGGACGCGCCGAGGAGAACGGTTCACCTCGCGGACAGGTTGGGCACAGAGATGGGAGTGGAGCGGCGGCTTTTCTGGCTATGACACTGACACACCGGGCGGGAAGGATGGCTCTAACCAGCCGGGAAATGTTGTGCTTGATCGGAACCACCTGCCTCTGGCTGCCGTTATTTGCAGAGGTACGTACTCCTGTCTGATGATGATAATGGGGTTGATTTTGCAATGTGGCCTGATTTTTTTTTAATGCCTCCCTTTTTCTTGACGTCCCGTGACTGTCACGCTTTGATGACCTGAGCTGCATTTTATAAAAAAAAAAAAATAGGTCGATAATTAGATTGATAAGCCTTAAATCAGGGCAATGCAACCAATCTTTAAGGACTGACTCATATAGGCTATGTTTTCATGCTTCACATTAAACCACTACTGATATATTCAGGGTGAATTTCCAGCAAAGCAGGTGCAGGTCGGGGCGTTAAAGGAGCATCAAGCCCCTTTAATCTGTCTTTTAGCCAATTAATGGCGCCATCAAAGCGCATTGTCTAATTAAACGGACACAATTTTTTCTCACACGTACGCACTTAGACACACATATACACTCATGCATGGTCTCAATCACAACCCCTGCACCCTCCTCCTCCTTCAGCCCCCTCGGCGGGATATCATGAGAGGAACCCGTCGGTGGCTCCTGTGCCCCCGCGGTGTTGTGCGAATGAACCCTGCACGGGCAGTTGAAGCTTGTCACAGCAACTCAGTCAACTCAGACGTTTTGAAACTAGTGTAGCAGGTGCCTTTGTCAAGTGAGGGTCAGAGCATCCTGAGGTCAGGTTTAGTAATTTATAAAGACAAAATTGGTTCTTATTTCTTCTGTTGTCTCTGCATGTCGCAAAGGAATGAATTAGCGCTAAATCAACCCATTAATAATTAGATTCATTCATTTTCGTTTTTTCATTTCTCTCCGTTTTTCTACAGTAAGTGTATTGTGCTAATGTGCAGCATATGAGCTGTGTAGCCTGTGTAGAAGTCATTAGTGGAGTACAGTGATATGCAGGATTTAATTAGACCCACTAACACTGGAAGCAGCCGTGCATGTAGCACAAATAGCACACTGCAGATGAGTTTCAGTTTCTTTTTCATTTCAACTTCATTAGACAAATCTTTTCATCAGGAGAATCGAGTATTTTTTCCTGCAACATCAGTACAAACATGGTCACAGAGAAACTGACAGGAAACGGAACTCAATATTTTCCTGAAGTCGTCGGTAACTTACAAACTGCTTCACTCTGAATCGCATCCAACATTACTTTCATTTCTGACATCAAAAGTCAAAAATGCCTAAAAATGTTAAAACAGTAAGTTGTAGCTATGGGATTAAGTTCCCAACATGACCGGTTCTACCATCAGAGTGTCCTAGGTGCCAGTGCACCCTGTGCAAAGAACAAATCTAACTGGTAAAAACCAACAACTCCTCCAAATTAAATGACAAATTATGTTAATCCATGCATAGAAGGTATTCTGATCTGATGCCCCAGCAAACAGCAAATCACTGTTTTATGACATGACAACGCTCTAGTTAAGGTTTGGTTAGGTTTCAGGAAAAAAAATTGAAAAGATTATGATTTAGACATAAATAAGTACTTCATTAAAGTTAAGGAACCTTTGTCGTGGTAGTTACAACAATAAAGACATAGTTAAGAATCAGGAACGATTGTGACTGTGGTGAGGAAGGCTTTAGGTAAGGAAGCTGTCTCATGTATCAGACTGATGTTTTGTTAACCCGTCGATCCACCTTGACCTCGCCTTTACACAGATTTTTGTCACTCCAAAACATTTGCCTTTGCTCCTGTCGTAATTAGCTGCTAGAAGGCTTTACCAGCATAAACCTATGTACTGTAGTTTGAGCACTTGCTGAAACGACTGATGCTGTTCTTCTTCTTCTTCCACCAGCATAGAGCACTTACTGTATCTGGACGCAAACACTATCCCCTAGAAAGCACATTATATGCTTCTAATCTGCTGCAAATACCTTTTCTATTTTTTTATTTTTATTTATTTTTTTAAACCTGTCCTGCCCAGCAGCCTGGTGTAGAGTATGATGACCTGGATACCATATTGTGCCACACAGATTTTACTTTAACAAGAGAGTATTAATATACTCTTTTGTCTGTTTTATTATTTATTTAATTATGTATTGATTTGTCACCGGGCCGGACAGGGGGGCAGACATGGGGATGGGGGGCACAAACAGACAGCACAGAGAAAGGACAACACCTGCAAGAGAAGGGGGATGGAAGGTGGGGACAACAGGGAAAAGCAGTGGGAAACACCAATTGCAGAAAGCAGCGAAACCTGCAATAGAACAGAGAGGGGGCTTGGGGAGGAGAAAAACAACAACAAACAAACACAAACAAACAATAAAAATAATAATAATAGTAAAAGACGACCAGCCGAACAGCAGCAATAAACAGCTGACATAGTAAGACAACTAAGAGAAAAATTAAAACAAGAAACAGTCCAATACACTAAATAAGCAACACAGCACAGCCACGAGAGCTGGAATAATAACAATTAATTTAAATAAGTAACTGAAAGAAAAGCATCAGGAATAATTCTACCAGGGACAACCTAAATTTGTTTGTGTCTGTGTGCGTGTGGGTGAATGTGTCTGTATGTGGGTGTACATGTGTGTGCGCATAAGCATGTTAAAGAATGTAGTTGTTAGTGAGAGTGGGGCGCCACGACTGTGCCACACCTACCCCAGCAACAGGCAGGCAAGAACCCCAGTAGCCAATAGGGATGGGAGAAAGAAAAAAAAAATCAATCAAAAAAACAAAGACTCCCAGATGCACCGCGATGCAAACGCGGAAGACCCCGTACCAAATGCCAGTTGACAACGCAATGCCGACGGAACGCAAGAAGCGTAACCCGCAGAAGAGCAGCGCCCGGACCGACCGCAGCGCGCAAACAACATAGACCAGTGCTCCCCCCCCACCCAGCACCCCACCGCCGCGCAGCGAACAACCAAAATGCCCAAATGCCACGCAATCATCAACACCATTGCACAAGTGATGAGCCCAACGCGCACACTGCGCAAGCACGGCGACACCCAATGCCCAGCAGCCCCCTGTGAATCCCGCGTGCGAGGTCGGGCAAACGAGAGAGAGCAAGCGGAACAACACGACAGCGAAAGCCAGCGGAGAGAAACACCAGCAGCAAGTCCCAGCCCGGCAGCAAATGCGCCGCACAGGTCACCGTGCACCCGCCAATAAAAGTCCACCGTCTAAGGCCGCCGGCGCCAGCCGACATCCCCCATGCCCAGTGCGCCCCCCGGCCGCCGTGCAACACCAGCCAAACTAGCAACGAGGCAAAATCAACTAGCTCAGCTGCATGCCACCAACAACCCACCCACCCGTCAAGGGCCGAGAACTCCAGGCACAAACCCAGAAGAAACCGGAGCACAGCCCTGCCCCGCACCCACACTGCACATCCCGAAAACTAACTATATACCTCAGTATCCAGAGGGGTCCAACAACTGGCCAACAGAGAAATGGGGAAGCATGGATCCGAGGCCAACGAAGCAAAACAGGGACGCAAACTGGTCCCTCCAAGCCAACGAGGAAATGCCTCCCCCGGACTCCAATGCACAAACTAAACGCCCAGCAGCCATCCAGAGACCCTGCCCAGGGAAAAAGCACAATGCATCAAGATGCATCGACAATCGCCCCACAATCCCACCGCAGCCCTCCAAACCGCAACCGGATCAACCCGCGCAGAGACCCCCACCCCCAGAAGCCAGGGCACCCTGCGACCCCCCAAAGCGCAAAGGACCCCAGACCGCATGTCCTGGGGGAAGCTGTAGCCCGCCCCAAGGAAGAACAGCAGAAAGCCGTGCCGGGAAGCTCCCTGCCGCCAGGGAGCAATAACGTGGGAGAACCAGGCCAACGGTCCCCCCCCAAATCATATTTAGGCTTGTTTGGTTAAGCCTATAGGAAAGATCATGATGTTGGTTGAATATTTAAAAAGTCAAAAGTGACTTGAAGCATGAGACGGGACGTGTTGACATTTAAATGAAACCACGATCTTTTAAAAACCTTAACCAAAGTGCTTTTATTGCCTGAACCAAACTGCACTGCACTTGAGACTCAGGATGTGAACCCCCGTCTCGGTCCTGCACTTCGTGTGCCTGTAGCAGGTGCACATCATGAAGGTAACAACTGGTTAAACAAATATGTAGTACAGAAACGTAATTTTTAGAAGACATGGTTGGATCTACAGCAGTATTTATAACAGCAACATTTCGGGACAGAAACCACTTTATTTGAAAAGAATCATCACAATCAGAAGATTTGCTGGTCGAGCTGCAAGGAGGTTTTGCGTAGAGTTCAACTTTGGTAAACTTATACATGCAACAGTCTTGACAGTATACTTACCTTTTGAGGGCATGGAGTTCAAAACGGAGGAAGCTATCATAAATCTGTAACGATTAGTCACTTAATTGATTAGTTGTTCAATAGGAAAATAATCAACAATTTTGATAAATGGCGAGAATCACTATTTATTTTTTTTAACAAATACCAAAAAGATTACAGCTGCAGCCCCCAAAATAAGAATGTTTGCTAGGTTTCTTCTTCTGTGGTTGAAAGATGAATTATTGTTCATACTGTTGGTCAGACAAAACAATCAGTTTCAATATGCCAAGTCAGGCTTTGTGAAATAGTGATGGAATTTTTTGCTGGCATTTTATAGACCAATTTATTGAAAAAATGTTGTTTAGACAGAAGTGGATGGTACAAAATACCCTTGCTTTTATTGTATCACTTAAACCACTGTAATTGTCAGAGTGCGGGTGGTCATAAAGCTTTTTACTGATTTTGTGACAACAAGCGAAGGAATGTCTCTGTCCCACTTTTCGGTGTGACTGGGCACTAACACACAATGACTATTAGCTTGAGAACATGTAATGATAGACTGCAGGAAACCTCAACTTAAAGCACTTTACCTTTCAATTGTGCTTTTACAGGTTTGAGGAGGTTAAATTCAGTTGTGGTGCCCGAACCATAATAGAGAGGAAAATCACGTGTAGACAAACATTGTAATTTTCCCAAAACCATACCAGCAACAACCAGTCAGCTTAAAACACATTTTTCTCACAGACAAGTAGAAGCTCTCCATCCTCCTGCTGTCGTTTCATCCAGAGCAGAAATGGACTCTGCCTATCTTCTCTATTCAGTGTGTGTTTGCATGGCCATGCACTGGACGCAGCTGTGAGGAGCGTCATAACTGATTACCGCCGTAATCGAGCCATGGGATTGATATGAATGGAAATATCAGCACCCATGTTCACTACCACAGGTCACCTGTTCCTGCTCTAATATCATTAGTGCTGAGTGGAGTCTTTTGGGAGGCGTTTGCATCTGTGTGTTGTGGGCTGTTGGAGAGAGACAATTAGAAAGCAGAACTCACCTGTGTGAAGGTGAACCGTGTTGTATTTCACTTTCCTCACAGTCATATTCCACAGCAGCAGCAGCAGTGTGTGTGTGTGTGTTGGTGTGTTATGCACGTGTGTGTCCTCTCCTCTTCTGCAAGGTGCCCTGCTGTGTAAAGGTATGACCTGATTTCTGAAAATGAAACAAACACTCTTCTGTCAGATATTGTCTGATGCCGTCAAGTAACATTTGTGTGTGTGTGAGCTCTCATACCTGGAAGGTGTATACTTGTTATATTTTTTTCTTTTGACTGGTGGTCCCTTCTGTTAATGAATAAACTCATTCACAAATGCGTGAAAATTGTGAAAATTGTGAAAATACTCTTTAGTTTACAATGTTACCTCTTGACATCACAGACTTTTCGTTGTCCTCTGTTTTCTGGCTTTGTCCTGACAGTTTTAACATATTCATGAATAAGTAGAAAGCTCACAGACAGTGTCAACTGATAAAGACATAGTTCAACATTTACGCATAGTTATATAAGAAGATCGATACCACTCTCATAGCTGTGCGCCAAGTATACAGCTGCTGCCAGGAGAGGATTAGCTTAGCTTACCATATAGACTGGAAACAGTGGATAACAGTTAGCTCTGTCCAAAAGTAAGAAATTGGCGCACTGTCACCTCTAAATTAGTGAGATTTACAATGTAAAGCTCACTAATTTAACATTTTATATCTCAATTGTTTAATATGTGCAAAAGTCGATGTGTAAAAATGACAATCTATGTGTTACGGGGGCTGATGTACTCCACTACTTCTTGGCAGGGAGAAGACTCACAGTCTTGTCTGAGACTCCAGGAAGAAACTGAATGGCTAAAAGACAGCAAATATGTGTCTCTCCCATGATGTCTACTATTCTTTTAACTGCTTTATAAATATGGAGATGAATAAGTCTCATTAGTAGTGACAAATATGTCATGATCCACAAATAAAAACCAAACAATTTGTGAATCAATGATGTCGATTGGATTAATGAACTGGAGTTCATATATAACGGCACTGCATACTGTATGTGGAAAAACAGTAACTCAAGTTGGGTGGTATTTGTTGTAATTTGGATTGGAGCAGATGTGATGTAATATATACACAAATCTTCATATAGCCTACATTTATTTGCAAGACTTATTTCTCTCCATATTGAAATGTATTCATGGTGGTGCTATAATAATTTGTTCCTGGATCCAATGGCCACCAAATTTCCGCTCTGTCTAACTTGCTGCATCTCTCTTCCTGTCTGCAGGTGGTGGCTGAGGACAGTTACTTAAACGAGGTGCAGAACTCAGGTAAGTGGGAGGTGATGCTCTTGTCTGCACACTACACTATAAATTAAGCTTCCCTCCATCCGGCCTCTCCTCCTACACCATCTCTTCCCTTCTGTTCTTTCTGTGTTTTTCCCTCCAGTTTAACCCACATTCTGACTCAGACACTCATAAAACCCCCTCTGCTGGCGCACTCTTCTTTCTTTTATCCAGCCGCCTCAACCCTGCTCCCACACTCGGTCCTACCTTTCCTCTTCCCTCCAGCCTGCACCGTTCTGCATTTAATTTCCCTCTTTTCTCTTCTTTCCCTACACCCTAAGAGGAGTAGAGGCCATGATGGGGGGTGGGGCGAGGAACTCCTCCTCCTCAGTGCTGAAGTATCTGTGCTCTGACAGCCGTGCACACGCATTGACAGACAAGTGAAAAATACGTCTCTTGTCTATCTGCAAAACCAGCTAAACCAGTTGGATCATGTGGAAAGCACCTCAAGGCTAAATAAATACGATTAGCACATGTTGAGCAAATGTTACACATGATGCTTGTCTGTTGCAGCATTTTCCTCCAGCTCTCCTTTTTTGCACAAAATGAGGTTAAATGTTGAGAAACAGAGAGGCAAGTTTTCCCATATTCCATATTTATTATAATGTGTGTGTTTTGTGTAGAAGATGCCACACACCCAGCCCCCATACAGCAAGCCTCCAAGTGTGAACCGTGTCAAATACTCATTGTGGCGGGGAAATGGATTATGGGAGCAGGGAGACTGAGTGTTCCCATGGCGATGGGCAGAGTACCGTTGTCGTGGCAATGAGGAGGGTGTTAGCAGCATGTGTTGTGTGTGTGTGTGTGTGTGTGTGTGTGTGAACGCTCCGGTTGTTGAGATGAATAAAAGAACTTGAATGAGGCATACTGTACAGGACGAGGAGTGAGATGTAAAAGTGGTGAAAAAAGGGGAGTTTAAAGATGAAAATCAGACACACAGAGAGAAAATAAAACAGAACACAAAGAGAGAAATGTTCATTTTAAGATGTCCTTCTTTCACTGGGGATGGAAATGAGGGATATCACAAAGATACACAGTGAAAATGTTGTCTGGTTTAGTTATGTAATGCTTTTCTACTTTATTAAGATTTCATAAAGGTGGCTATAAAAGTTTTATCGCCATTACAGAGCATATTTAGCTTTAAAAATATATAAATAAATATTTATTCATTTAGTTATTCATCATCAACACAAATGTAACAAGATATATTGTATTAACATAAAATCAAAATCACCTTAAGAACACATGGCTTACATGATTTAAATGACAAATATGTTTGATGATGAAATATTAGTGTAGGAATTAAAAATATATCATCCACATTAACTATGACTTCATGCTGCAAATAGCAGCTGTTCTGTCATAAAGTATTCAGAGTAATATATTTTTTTAATATAACAGCAGCCATTTTGATAATTGATTTTGATAATTGATTAATTGCTGGAGTCTCTTTTCAAACAACCCGACATCTGCTTTTTCCAGCTTCTCAAATGTGATGATTTGCTGCTCTTCTTTGACGACTGTGATAGATTTTGGGCCATTGATTGGACACAACAAGCTTTAAATATCCTACTTTCTGATCTGGGAGTATTTGACCGGCAATTTGTGCTATTTTCTGATATTTTATAGACAAAGGATTTCTATTAGCACACCTTCTTTAACTGATTCACCACACATAGAACATACACTTTGCAGCAGATGGATAAACAATGAGACTTATTTTAAATATTTTTCTTATTATTTTCTTATCATGTCTATTCTGAACATTCTTATGAAATAGTTTGTCTTCACTGGTAATCATTTTTATGGTACATAAACATGAGCAGCACATATCAAATATCACACCACTCATACCACCAATGACTTAACAATAGAACAACTGTAGTATAAGCAAAAAATACTTTGAGAAAAAAACAAGTGTAGGCCTACTAGGAACAATACAAATAAATATAAAAAGGATTAAATAAATAAAAGTAAAAAAGAGGTGATTAAAGATAAGGCATTATCTGTATTAATGGTGTCCATCCTTCAGCCAACCTATCCTCTTTCAACTGTAATAGCACTGTGATTTTCTCCATGATAAAGACATGTTAACCCCGTCTCTCCATTGAATACGGTCTATTAAAAGCAGAATTCTCAATAAAGAAATCAAATTTTTATGCTTGACATTATCAGGAAGTTTAACCAGTATGAAAAGTGCTCTAAAATAGAGTAAATGCCCAAAACCTGTTTAAAATCCTTTTGGACATTCTTCCAGAAATCCATAATATATGTGTGACATCCCGCACCAAACCCTCTAACATAGTTCAGATGTTTTGCTGTATTTTTAAGTGACTGTATTAAAATACCGCATGTTCACCTTCCAATCAAAATCCCTCCATGTTGGGCTATTAGTTACTTTAGTTTCGAATGACTTAATGGTTTGTCCACTGAACACTTGTGCAACATATATTAATATTGATTGTCCATTTGTTGAAACCTGTTTCCATTACAGATGTTAAAACATCTGGGGTTTTTGCTATTTCAGTGGCCATACAAATGGAGTTTGACAGTTTTCATTAATTTCGTACGATTGACCATATTTTCATTGCTCCCCTGATCCAGACATTACCAATCTGGAGCATCTTCTGTGACCTTTCAAGAATGAAAGTGATTCCATTTCAGGCTTTGCAGACGCTCACAAACAACAATTAAAAAGAGAGAAAGGCTTGAATGTGCTGTGTTACAGTGTCCTGTGGTCTCTTGCCTTCTCTAACAAAGCACAGCAAAATAACATGGTGTAAGTTGAGCGGTAGAGACAGACTTATTTACAATTGAAAGAACTAAGTAACTCCTTTTTTATTTTGTTATAAAGAACGTTTCTATCCATGCACAAAACATTTAAATTTAAGCACTCTCAATGACCTATGTCTATTTATGTCTCTTTTCAAAAACGTTCAAAGCCTTTGTTTTTATTTCCCCAAATGAACAACTTTCAGGGATTTCAAGGACCAATGGGAACCACAAATTAGATTCAGACCCACATGTGTGTTTGTACTTAAAACAAAGTGTCCTTTTTTCCGATGGGGAATTACACTGTAATCGCTACTTTAACCTCACACTGCTTTGCATTGTGCGCTATTTCCTTGAGCAAAGTCACAAAAAAAAATAAAGCGCTCACAAAGTCAACCAGAGAGCCGTCTAATGCTACATAGTGCCCTGAGCCCTCAGGTCATAGTCTGTAATTTTGGACAATGGTGCTCTCTGTGTTGTGACCTCCAGATTGTCCCCTCGTGGTTTAAGCATTTTATGATGTTTCTTTTGCCGAAACAACCTCTAGTTACCAAATATGTTTGTACGTGCTGGGTTCACCTTTACACAGGTGTGTTGGTGTATTTTGATAATTTATTGGCCCATATTTATGTCCACTACATTTGTTCTAACGTCATACCTATTCTTTCCTTCCTATTATTTCCTCTTTAAAAATATGCATTAATAAATACTTCCTGAAACCAAACCAAATATAAAACCCACAACCTTATTTAATCAAATAGTGATAATCTAACTGATAACTCTGTACACTTTCTACTCTCTTATTGTACTATCTCTACCAATTTCTCCTTTCTACATTTACAACTCCACCTCCAACTTCCACTTGCATTGTCTTAAACATAAGTAATGAAATATTTTCTTTTCCTCTATAAATTCAATTTCACAGTTACAGATTGGATTTGAGGCATAGTGAGATGGTTCATCTCAATTATATGCTTCACATATTTTGTCCTTATAAAAAGCTGCTGTACCAAAATTCTTCTCTGAATGTCAGTTGTTTTTTTTTGCAAACACATCAGTTGCATTTAACTAAATAAGCCTCAAATCAATGAGTCTCTGAAGCCTCTGTTCACTCTGTACGACTAACAGGAACAATTATCATGGAATCCAAGTTGGAACCATATTCATTATCACATGGATTCATGTATGGATACAGCTCTTCAGTAAAGAAAAACTCCGTAAATGAGTAAATAAGTGATGCGGTCTGTACGTCAAAGAAAGAAATTTTCCCTCCTTCATAATCCACAAACACGCCCACCCTCTCTACTTTTCCAAAGTGTACCGGCAGGTTTGGAGAGCTGAAGGTTTCGAACTTATCTTCAAGGAACCAGATGGCCCAGAGTCCACAATGAGGACCCCGAACCAATGCCCCTCTCCTCTGGACCGACGCCTTGGCCACGCCCAGACACCATTCAGTCTTTTTACCCACGAACACCTCAAAGTAAAAGCTCTGTGAGAAGCTTCTATGTCCCAGAACTGCAAGATGTTCAGTAAACATGTTCGGCTTAAGGCTCTGTATTGTCCACAAACCTGAACCTATGCAGTATTTTACCTGCTTCCTGTCATCGGATAAAATAAGCAGAGCGTGAGCCGTGTCAGGATCGAGCAAAACGTCCGCTTGAAACTGCTGTGCATATTCCAACGTAGTATTGTTTGACACATGTGTGCCGTCAGAGATTGCTTCTATTTCTGTGTTCATTTTATTCAGCAACATTCGCAGCTGAGACACTGATTTGCTCAAAGATTTCCTTATGTGCTGAATCTCCACGTGTCTGTTAAAACCGAACGTGGACAAGTCCATTGTGTGTGGTGGGAAGGAGCAGTTTGGGAAGCTCTGGAGGAAATAAATCTGGTCTTCAGTCTGTTTCAGCTCCCTCATTTTCAGGGTTGTTCTCTGCAGCTCGGCGATCTCCCGCTCTATGCTGTAAATGAGCCCATCAGCTTGTTCTTCAGCCGCTTTTTGCTTCTCCTCCATCACCTTTACAAGCTCCGCCTGGCTCTTGTGAATCTCAGAGACCAGTGCCGTCAAATCCTTCACGCCTTTTGCTATCACGTCTTTGGTTTCTGTCTTGCTTTGTTTTGCTGACTCCTTCATGGTTTGGACCGTCTGCAGCCTTTCCTGGATCATCTGCTGCACTTTGGCCTCTGCATCACCCAGCTGAGCCTTAATCTCTTTGTACGCCCGCTGCACAGGAACAACGTTGTGGTTCGAGTGGTGCAAAGTGGCGCAGATGTCACACAGCAAAGCCTTGTCGTTTGTACAGAACATCATCAGGAGTCTGCTGTGCTGCTTGCAGATCCTGTCCTCGAGACTCGCCAAGGGGTCAACAAGTGTGTGTCTCTTCAGTCCGGCAGCTCTGTGATGAGGCTCTAGATGAACGTCGCAGTAAGAAGTCAGACACTCCAGACAGGATTTGACAGCCTCTTGCTGGGTGTCGGTACAAAGATCACACAGCACTGCACCACCACGGCTGGCCTGCTGTTGGTGTGCACTCCAGAAGTGAGTGTTTACCACCTGAAGGGACTTGAACTGCGATGCAAGCTCTGAAATAAAAGTGTTGACCTTGAGGTCCGGTCTCCTTTCATAAGTTTCCTGACAGAACGGACACTTGCAGACTGCCTTGTCACTCCAGTAGCGCATGATACAGGAGAAGCAGAAGTTGTGTCCACATGGGGTGGAAACTGGCTTATTGAACATATCCAGGCAGATGGGACAAAGAAACTGATCCTCAGATAAGATACTGTTGCTGGAGGCCATTTCTAAAAAACAAACAAGCAAATAAACAAAAACAGTTAAATTAAAGCAAGTCACATAAACACAACACAAAGCTGAGATGCATTCTTGGTCTCGGAAACAGCAGTTACAAAAAACAATGTTACCACAAGGTACATTTAGTAGCTGTTGTGGAGCTTTCGATCATATCATCATTTTTTTAGCCTTTTTTAGTGATAGGACAGCTCACCAGTGACAGGAAATGTGGGAGAGAGAGAGAGAGAGAGAGATTACGACATGCAGGAAAGGGCCACAGGTTGGATTTGAACTGGGCCGCTTATACATGGGTCGCGCCCTAGTGATGAGCTAGTTGGCAGGTTTGACAAGTTTTCATAGAATTTAGTTACATTGTTTTGAACATCTCACTTTAAATGTACTCTGGGAAATGTCTTTGTTTTCTTTATAAGTACATTTAGTGTTTCTCTTCAGTGTATTAAGAACCGAGACAATAACTCGAACCATTTTGATAACCAAATTATTATTTATGACATAAAACGGGGGAAAAAATCACTGGCTCCACTTTCTCTTTTGTAAATATCTGATAAATTGAAAATCAATTCAAATCAAATCAAAGCAATTTAAAGATATCAGTTCAGGCTTTGGGACACTAGCTAATTAATCAAGAAAATAATCAGCTGGAAAGGACCTTTACCTGAGTTTCTTTTCTTCGCTTCTGTGTCCAAGGTCAAGAATCAACTTTTTAACCAACATAGATAAGTCTTTAAAGTGCATCTATTATAGTCTACATTTCCATGACATCTCTGCAAACTATATCTGCTGATGAAGATCATGTGATGTAAAAGCTTACTAAATGGATTTTGTGGTTGGATTATTTCATTACAAAGCTCTTATTACTGTACTTGAGAAAGCAGCAATTCTCAACAAAAAGGCAAAGAGTGGGGTGAAACTACAACCTACAAACAACATATATTTTCTTCTTTATGTGTTATAATGAAAGTTTGGCTGAGTAATGGGTACTTACGTCTGTTGGTGTAGGTCTGAGAAGGAGAAGTAATGACATGGAGAGCAGGGTTTTTTCCCAACAATTTACTTTCAGTTTCTTTATGTTGTGTGTTTCTTAAAGGGACAGTCACGTCTTTAAATCTGAAGTCAGAAGCCTTTTTTAGTTTGGATACCAGTGTGGGTTGTTTTTGGGTCCAATGTCTGAGTGTGTTCTGTATTATTTAGTGTTTGAGGATAGATTTCTGTTTTAGTTCAGTACATTTCTGCCTGATTGACTTCCAGTTTCTTCCTCTTTCACCACTTTCCCGTTCTGCTCTTCCTCTTATCTTCCTCCAATTTGGACCCAGTGTGTGTGTTTCTGCATCAGACTGTACTGTAGTGCGTGTTTGTGTCCCTATGCAGCAAATCAGCAAGTGTGTATGTGTGTGTGTTAGTGTGCAAGGAGGGCTGTATGTAATGAGGGTTGCACTGCGTAGATAATGTTCCAGGATGGCCGAGCTGTGTGTGTCGAAGAGATAAGACTGTTGCTGGTTACTGAAGCACCTCTGCCATTAATCAATGTTTGGTAAGCGCTTGGCCTCAAAAACCCTTAAAACTTTAGTGTACTGAAACATCACACACACACACACACACACACACACACACACACTGTGGAAAAACACTCCATTAGAAATAAAAATTAACATTCACTTCTCAGGGGATTTTCATACTCTCAGATCAACTGATAAAGGAAAGGAAGGGAACGAGAAAATAAAGAAACAAATAAAATGTAAGGAAGGATGAAAAATGAGAATTACAAAAGAAATAAACACATTTTTTCTCATGTTTTGCAGAATTAGAACCTGTTGACTTATGCAAACCCAAAACCCATAATTTAATGATTGACTGGCCTACATACCTGCCTGTGTGCACTCATTGTGCAAGAAAATGTGTTTTGGGCGATGAGGGAGGCCTGAAGGGAGGGGGTGGGACTTTCTTTGGTGGATACTTTCAAAATCTAGCTGCCTCTTGCTAGTTTCTACAACATTGCCAACCCCAGCTATAAATAAACAAATGAGACACTATGAAATACATAAGTAAACAGAATGAAATATATAAATTGACTAATAAATTGTAAAATAGTTTGATGGGCTGAAAGTGACTGGTTACAACTCCATTGTGACATTATGAAAAGAAAACTGACTTTTCGCCAATGAAACATAGCTTCCCCACCTAAAATAAGAGTGATAAAATAACATTTCATAATAATAAGTTGAGTTTTAATTATTTATTTAATCAATGCAATTCATGTATCTAATGTCTTATTGGTTTATATATTATTGGACAAACTGGGGCTCTCAGATACATGCATATCAGCTTTTTGACAATATACATACTGTAAATAGTTCAGATTTGATCTTTCTTGGAGGACTACTTGGGCTTTCAAGACACTAAACAACCAAGATGACCACTTAACAGTTTGTCATGTACACCTCCACAAATTCACAAATACATTTCAAAAGATCCAATTTACATAATAGAAATGTCCTGTGAACAAGGATTTAGAGGTTCTCTCTATCTTCCTCGTCCTATAAATCTAGTCAACACTAAAAAACACACTAAATATTAAAAAGCCACTTTAATATACCACTTTGCACCTTTGCAGTTACCTTGCACCTCTGAGTGCATTAGTACGTCTCTTGGCTTTTTGTGTAACACTCTGCTTGTTATATTCTGTAATATAATTCCTTTTCATTATGCATGATGTAAGTTTTTAATAGGCTACAATATATAACCTGCTCCATATTTTGTGGCCTAATTTTGCTGCACTTTGAAGTCAGCAGTTTTTGCTCTCAGTCTGTCTAAGCTTCACTCACACATTCCCTCTTTTCCTAGAAGATTACGGGAAGTATTTGATCGCCACCATGTAAAGTGAGGGCGGTTAAAGGTTATAGGAAATTTTACCAGTTCTACATGCATCAGCGGAGGTAAAAGCATTAGGCGGGATCCTGCTGTGGCAGCGGACATCATTTGAGAAACATCCATGTAAGTCTTTATGTTCAGATAGAATACAGACATGGGGATAATGTGGCTTGAATAAGAGCAATTCCACTCCTCTTTACCCTCACAAACTTTCACCATTTCATTCCCTTTTATTCACACCGTCCTCTCTGACCCAAATCCTCCTCCTTTCATCCAAAACATCTTATTCTTCCATCTTCCTCAACATTCACTCACTCTCTTTCCTCCCTCCCTCCCTTCCTTCTCTTTGTGCAGTGCCTCTGTCCTGCTCTGAGGGATTCACAGAGTTGGGATACTACAACGGCACCGTGTCTCAGACGGACTCTGGCGCCCCCTGTCTAAAGTGGACCGAGTTTCCAGACTACGTCATGCAGTACCCGGGCCGAGGGCTGGGCGACCACAGCTACTGCAGGAACCCAGATCGAGAATCAAACCCCTGGTGTTTCTTCAGACAAAACTCCGGAGCCATCGGATGGGCCTACTGCGACTGTCACCAGGGTACGACCACCGATCACAAGGATGGGACTGATCCAGGACCATTTATAATTTTTTTCATAGCACTGCTTTAAAACAAAGTGCTTCACGATTTAGAAGAAAACAAAAAGCGTTATTAAAAACACCCACAGAACTGGGGCTTAGACTAACGACCCAAATTAATCTGAGGGGTTGTGAGATGATTAAAGGACTAGGAAAGAAAACACATTTCTGCTATACAAAATTATGTTTATTCAGTCTAGTTTCTGTTAAATCTTTGCATTTTTCTTTGTGAGATACTCTTTAGTTTGAATTATTTCAAATGAAACACTATTAGAAAGTCTTTGGATCAACTGCCCACAATTTGTAGACATGTGCAAATGAGGAAGAAGATGCTGCTTTCTTCAAGGTGTCACAGGCCAAAAAGGTTAGGAACCAGTAATTCATAAACTGTCAGGAAATCGATTGCAACAATCAAAAACCCAATAAAATTAGTTATTTACAATAACAGAAAACAGTTAATTTTTAGCATTCATGCTTAAAAAATAACTTAAACAAAACATTTATATTAACAATGGATCAACTGACTGTGAAATGTGTAATGTGAGAGGGGTTGGTCATAGTAACAAATCCACAGAGAATTAATCGGCAAAGTGGAGTGTTTATCAGCTAAACAGCCAGTGATACCCCTCAGGAGTTGGTGCTGACCAAAACAGAGCTAAAATGTATTGATCAGGTCACCTGAAAAGCAACTTCAAATTAATGCTAATGTCTCTTTGGGTCTGCTGGATGTGTAAATAGACAACTGCTTGCTAATATGTTCGCCATAACAACTTAATAATATGTCATGTTGTGTTTACAGCTTGTTCTGCTGCCCTCAAGTGGCCAAAAAATCAAATAATGCAGCTTTAAATAATTAATTGAATATCAAATTGTGTATACAGTGTAGAAAAAACTTCTGATGGCTGGTGAACATTTATTGTACGCTGCTTATGGTTTGTGAACATGAAACCGTCTCGTCCCTCTGTGGCATTTTAGGTGCGGTACGTCTGGTCGGCAGCTCATCCTCTGGCAGTGGCCGTGTTGAGGTCTACCTGAACAGTCAGTGGGGGGCAGTGTGTGACTCTCACTGGTCAGACAGAGATGCCAGCGTGATCTGCAGGCAGCTGGGCCTGGGGTAAGAGAAAACAAAACACATGTTCTCATTCAGTCTCGGTTGTTTCACAGCTTGTTCTTAAAGGTTCAGTGTAAAAAATTTACGTGGATCTATTGACAGAAATGCAATATAATATCCATAACTATGTTTTCAGTGGTGTATAAAGACCCTACATAATGAACTGTTATGTTTTTATTACCTTAAAATGAGCCATTCTATCTGCATACGCCACGGGTCCTCTTGCATGGACATCGCCATGTTGCGCCGCCATGTTTCTACAGTAGCCCAAACGGACAAACGGCTCTACAGTGTGTTTCGTCACTACGTTGAATATGTTTAAAAAACAAGCAGAAGTAGTAGTAGTAGTAGTAGTCGTCTGGTTTATTAGAAGTAAGAAGAGAAGTGAAGTTTAGACAAATAGAGCGTGTCGGCCACCGTAGCTTCTCCTGTGTGCATGGAAAGGCAGGGGTGAGCGGAGAGTTATGGTGCATTCATGTGGTGTTAATCTGAATTTTTGTTTTCCTCCTTGAATCTAAAGTGTACATAGGACATAAAGAAGTATATAGAATATACAAATATATATAAGAAGACACAAATAATAAAAAGGGGTAGTCTACTGTATATTATAAAAAGATAAAGAGGACAATATGTTGACAGTTTTCACAACCTTTTTGTTGTTTGAATTGAATTGATATAATGTTCAACCTCATGGAGAAAAAGTAAACAGTTTTTTACTGCTGAATTTACAATTGCCATTAGAATGAATACATTTCTTATATAAAGTACTTATTTCCTCCGAGGACCAAGTGAACGCACACTAAGCCGTTTGTTGCATTTTGCATCCCTCACCACTAGATGCCACTAAAACACACTGAATATTTAATTTTCTATTTTAACAGCGACATTGGCTCGGCATTGCAGCACTCACAGTTTGGCTCGGGCTCCGGCCTCTTCCACTACGAGCGTCTGGGTTGCCGCGGTGACGAAAACACCGTGAGCAAGTGCCGAAGCAGGACGTTCGTCACGGGTGACTGTAGCCATGGAAACGAGGCGGCAGTGGTGTGTGCGCCGCCTGAAGGTCAGTGTGACACACTGTAACCAGACCTCAATATTTCTCCACCACACCTGAGAGAAACAGTGATTTATTTTGAAAAGAATGTTTTTCCTCTATAAAGGAGCATTAACTTAGAAAATAAAATGTATTAGAGAGAGACAGGCTGACAGCAGGGATGCTGTTTGACAGTAGGTATTTTTCCACATCCTCTATCAGGCAGTGGCCCTCCGCTCCGATTGGTCGGAGGCGAGGAAGAATTTGAAGGTCGTGTGGAGGTGTTTCATGCAGGAAGGTGGGGCTCGGTCTGCGATGACCAGTGGGACGACAGAGACGCTGAGGTGGTGTGCAGACAGCTGGGTTTTGGGTATGTTCATTGGTGATTTTTCAAACCTTCACACTTGGTTAACATTTTTGTTGTGACAATAAATCATACTCTCAATAAAGAATAAGGCTATTATCCGTCTATATTTGTCTTACTTTCATCAAATCCCATTAAAGACCAAAACCAACAACGGGTTTCTGAATTCCCTGCCTTGTCTGTAGCATGTCAGTAATTTCCCAAATGATGAATTAACAAGACAGTTCAACAGTTTGGCTCATGTGTTATATGTGTTTTTAATGTGTTTCTGGACAACAATGGAGCTCTATGGCACAGAAGAAAAAAGAGGCTTTGACCACACAGATTATGCTTGTTAGTAGGATACATTCTTAGTTGGTTGGTCTTTTCATGGCATTTGTTGACAACAATAATAATATTTATACTTTAATGTATAATACTTAATTTAAAACTACAGGACACGGATGCCACCATTAGCGGGCTTAGGGTTGTGTAATATCTCCAAAATGAGCATGTGCTGTAGATTTATGCTAATTAAAGCCTCTGTTTACTATAAGATAATCTTTTATCTAACCTTTAAAATCTGTGTTTTTATATTTTTTAAGTGGCCATAAGGACTTTAAATGTGTAAATTGACACAAGGTAGTGAAGTTTACTAAGTCAGCTGGTGCAGATCCACTTTCACTCCCTCCTTGCTGGGTTGGGACGGCCCTCAGTATGAAAAACCCTCCTTGTTAACCCTCAGCCACGGCCAGAGTGAAAAGGGCAAGAGAGTAGGGGCAGACCTGTGTACTATCCTAGAAAGAGAAAAAGAGAATGATGATACTTTGGGTCATTTTGAATAATATAAATGAAACACCTGGCAGTTGCAGTATTTTCACTATATAAAGTAGATAAACGAGAGCTGCCATTTTCATTCAAAGCATAATAAGAAATAAGTTATTTTCCTGAAGCTCTTGGAAGGAGTTCAGTGTTGAGACTTGGAACGGGAGCACAGAGGTGTCATTTGGATCAAGGTTTTCTCACTTTGTCAAAAACAAAGAGGAATCCCTGGGAAGCGGTAGATAATGTCTGTTCAGGTGTTTCCTCCTCACACACAGAGTGTGTCTCCTGCAGAGGAGGTGTAACATCCCAGACATATTTGTGAGTGTCAAACAGGGATGAAGCTGTAGCTGTGAAGAGACAGAACTGCTTCTGTGTTCAACATTAGATTGCATTTCATCTCCCCTCTAACACAGTGGGACACTTCACCATCTGTGTTTGTGCTTCTAAATAATAGATGTACTAACACTGTTGAGCAGGTGTTTTGACACTTGAAGTAAATGAAGTGAAAACGATTAGTTTTTTCCCACCTGCATAGTTTTGTTTCCTGCAGTAGGTATGCGTGTCATTTACACACTTTTCATATTCTCATATTATCTATTTTTACAAACTGACATTCAAACCTAGTCCCATTATGTTATTCCTCTACTAGCTGCTACGAAGCAACAGGCTTTTTATGCTGGGCAGGGTTGGCTAGTTACCCCAAATCACATTTGATTGGATACATTGACATGGATACATGCAGCTGCCCCTGAGTTCATGATGAGTTGTAAAAAATATTTCATCGAATTACAGGAAGAGAAAAATGGATTTTTAAAAATTTATTTTTCTTTATTTCATCTTTAATCAATTATGAAATTTATCAGCAACCAACCAACTTCACAACTTTCTGTGTGACTTGAAAAACAAAAACAACAAAAACGACAAAATAATTTTTCCTCCTCTATTTCCCGTATTCTGACTATTTGGCCCCTTTTTTCTACTTAAAAAGCTCCATATTTTAAATAATAACAATGAGAAGAAGCTCCTGGTCACTACAATATGATGCACTCTATATTTTCTGTGCTTCACTATGCTTTTATTTTCAGATTAAACATGAAGTACAACTGAACACAGGAGCAGAAATGCATGGACCCACTTATACACACAAAAGTGCTTTTTGTAGCATTTTAGCATCAATAAATAATCACCACGTGAATGCAAGAAGGAGCTATTCATTATTTATTTGGGGGGTACCTCAGGTTTATAACCAGTATGTAGGCAGGTAAAGAATCTATATGCACCTGGGAAGGTTGATAATTATTAGCCATGCTAACACTTTAACTGTATGGATGACTTGAAATTTTCTACAGACATTTATTATTCCCAGAATGGGAATCATTGAGACTTTGTTGATCCCCTGATGATTTCTCTAGCGCCACCATTGGAGGTTGACATTTGTGTTTTTTTGTGAAATATCTTGACAACTATAAGATGGATTGCCATGACATTTTGTGCAGCTATTCATGTTCCCTCTCAGGAAGAACTGTAATCACTTTAATGATCCTTTAACTTTTCATCTAGCGTCAAAAGTTGTATTTATAACCAAATACCCGCAAAACTAATTACACACAATGTTTAGACAGATTGTGTATGTGTGTGTTGTAGGGGAGTGGCAAAGGCCTGGTCATGGGCTCACTTCGGTCAGGGTTCAGGCCCGATCCTGCTGGATGCTGTGAAGTGCACAGGAAACGAGCTCTTCCTGGAACAGTGTCCTCATGGCGACTGGGAGCAGCACAACTGTGACCACATGGAGGATGCTGGGGTCTCCTGCAGCCCTTATACAGGTATAGTACATGTACAGTACATACACACATATATGCATTATTGCTGCTGTACACACTGATAGGCTTCAAGCTGCTATTTATAGCCCCTGAACATCAATAAATCATTACAGCGTGAAGCAGCAACACGACCTTGACAAACAGAAACAGGATTCATGGGATCTGAGAAGGAACATATCTACTAGCATGAAATGGCAGCTACTATTCATAATTCAACATTAATAATTATTCTGAACATTGTACATTACTGTTAATGGAAAATATAGCATCTGTAAAATGTAATCTTACTTGATGGTTGCATAAAGGATTTTCTTTGGAGTCGAGTCAAGTGAATCTGCCTTTAATCACATTTATGGTTACAAAAGACTTTATAATGGCAACGATATGAAACTGTTTCATCAGATGGTGTGGTGCGTCTGGTTGGAGGAGACAGTCCCTGGGAAGGCCGGGTCGAGGTTTTCCACAATGGTGACTGGGGGACGGTGTGTGACGACCACTGGGCCCAGCAGCATGCTGATGTGGTCTGTAGACAGCTGGGCTACAGGTGTGTAAAAAGCTGCATCCACAGAAATGTACACCGACTAAACACAAATTAATCATATTGCATATGTTTATCTGAAGACATTGTCAGATGTTTTGTAAAGACAATTTATATTTCTAAGAAAATTAAACACATTTTAAAAAGTCAGCCATCTGAGCTAGGGATGGAGTTGGGTATTAGAATTTGTTTTTAACTCTCTTTGTCTGATTTGTCATGGATTCACTTTTGCTTTTTAGGCCATATGTATTGATGTATAAGTTAATTGTCTATTTTGCTGAATTTTGCGAGGAAAAGAGCATATAAATAAGATAACTGAAAAAGAAAATATATTAACAGTAATCTGCAAAACTTGTAATTAGTAAGGTTCTGATGCTCCAAATGTCGGATCTTATTATTATCATTTATTACAGTATTTTACATTTATTGATCATCAATTTGTAATCTGAAATGGAACCAGAAATGCAGCAATTGATTGAATTCTAATCTGATGAATTTTACCTGATGAATTTTACCTGATGAAAGTCAACTGAGATGTTTACTTACTGCAACCTATTGTGCATAAATGTAGCTTCAAATTCTGAATAAGGGAAAACTAAAAAGATACAAATGTCCACAAAAGACGTTAACCTCTTGTTGACCTTCAGGGGTCACGCTGAGGTCGTGTCAGACGGGACGTTCGGGGAAGGCGTCGGTCTTATCCTCCTGGACGACGTCCACTGTGAGGGATCTGAAACGTCCCTGCTGGACTGTCCACACGGGATCTGGGGGAGGACGGACTGCTCCCATAGTGAGGACGTCGGTGTTCGCTGTAGGGGCCTATCCAGCCAGGAGACCAATGAAGTGCCGGTTATCGCACCATCCACAGGTAAGAGATGACATATGAGGATGAACAAGTCCTGCATGCATTTTACCGTTATTCAGGATAACTTTACCAAGAGACCAATGATGTCTTTTTCATGTATAGTTGTATAGCTAAAATAAACATTTAGCTTAGATGTGCAATGAACAATGTGAATAAAGGAAAAAGGAACAACAAGGCAATAGAGTTATAACTTAAATTAGCAATTGTTTCCAATTGGCGTCTCTTCAGAAACCAGATTGTAGAATAGTTGAGAGTTTAATTAATTTACAATGTTTGATAAAAAAAGATTCTATTTCATATTTTGGTGAAAGATGTATGGTTATTTTCTGCTGCCTTCTGCCTTATTTTATTTTGATATTTTGTCAGTTTTGCTGTACACATTCACACTTTATTTTATTAAATAAAGCACTTTGAAGCTGCCTCTATATGAATAAATGTGCCTTACAGTGCCAAAATTAGAACTAGCCCCAGCTTTGATTATACATTGTTTGAGAACACACTAGACTCAGTTACATTTGTGAGTTTAAGAATAAGGATAGTTTATTGTCATTCCAGAGCAAGTTTTACATGAAAGCAATTTAAATTAGGCACTTCTTGGTGCAGTTGTTGTATATTAGAAAGAAATTCGGTAGGAACAAAGGTTTGGCTGTCTAATCACTGAAAGAATAATAACATTCCTGTCTCTTTTTGTGGCGCTGTATCGTTACTGCAGTGTGAAGACACCTGTGTTTTTCTCTGTCCAAAGACTTTAAATGCCACATGTTGACAGCAGAGAGAATAAAGTGCTGTTTACTGTCTCAGCACTCCAAAGGTCCAGCGTCTCCTGTAGACACACAGTCCATTACAATGAGAATAGAGGCTGAATAAAGACACACCGGGCTGCAGATGACATTTAACATTGTCAGTGGACATATAACTCTTTCTCTGTGAGTGTAGACCAGATGTAGATGCACACACACGAATATGAATGAGAGTTTTTTTCCTTTCAGGTCCCCTGGTGCGTCTTGTTGGTGGCAGCAGCAGGAAGGAGGGTCGAGTAGAGGTGTATCTCCATGGTGACTGGGGAAGTATTTGTGACTCAGGCTGGAACGACTTGAATGCAGCCGTCGTGTGCAGACAGCTCGGACACAGGTTAGTAATTCCATGCCTGCATGAAAGAGACAGAGAGTTACGTTTTAAAAAAATTACATCAAAATTCACATTTTGCTCACTACTCAGTGGTCGAGCGGTAGCAGCCGGAGGGTTCGGACAGGGGAAAGGGCCCATCCACCTGGACCAGGTGAGGTGCACGGGGAAGGAAGAGTTCCTGGGCGAGTGTCCGTCTCTGGGCCAGAACATCGAAGGTTGCAAGCGCAGGGTGGATGCAGGGGTTAGGTGTGACATCGCGCCGCAGGAGTTGGCGGTACAGGCCAAGCCTCAAGAGCTGAGCTGTGGGCTGAGGAAGCTGGTGGAGGAAGAGAGCAAGAGGAGGAACCAAGGGGAGGAAAACATGCTCAGGTAGGATTTAGGACCTAATTTGGTAGTACAAAATGTCTGAATCTGTGGCTTTGTCCTGGTGACAATGAAGCCTAATCAGTGACACTTTTCCTAAGAGTGTGAATACTGTAATAAAAAATACAACATCCACAATAAAAGACTGGTATGTTTGAATTTAGTGTATTTATTGCACGTGGAATAAATTTTAACCCAGTTTTCTAAGACCTATCTCTCTGATTGGAGGGAAGTGTGTTAAATTCTGTAAATAAACCCTTATTTATGGTTAGATTAAGCTGTGCGGGGGCTCCAGGGGCAAGTGTTTGCTAGTTTTCTGTGTCAGTTAGTTTTGTGATAATTTGATTCTACACAACCTAATTAAGGAATATGCACCATGTGAGCACAATCCAAACAACAGGGCCCTGGATAAAACTGCATCACAAAGTTAGGTAGTAATGCAAGACTTTGAAAGTTGTACTTTTTGTACTTAAATTGTGCAACAATTGCAATTAAAGGCAAATTTATAGTCAGTGTTACTCATCAAAACGCATTGTGTGTATCTTTGAGATTTAACGGGCTTTAATGTTGAATGTATAAAAACATTGTTCCGTAGTGCTACTAGCGGTCAAATACACAGCACCTTTAATTAAACTGACATAAACTAACACACAATAAGCCTGGGGCTTTTTTCCCCCCTGTGGCAATACTCTGCTTTGAGTGGGAGGTCATTGAGCTTTTAACTCTACCTTGTGCAATATCCACATTTTGAAACCTGTTATCATTGGTTGTTGCACCAGATACTTGGTTCCGGGTTAGTCCTTCTTGGTTAAAATTCTTGTGCACAGAATTTAAAGTGATCTACATTTCCTGCAGCAGTTTCTTTCAAAGTAAATAAAAGAGGAAATGTATAGTCAGCAGGCTGTGGCTCAGGAGGTAGAGCGATCGTCCACTAATCAAAAGCTGGCGGTTCGATCCATCAGTCTGCATGTCAAAGTGTCCTTGGGCAAGAAAATTAACCCCGATTTGCTCCCAATGGCTGTGCCGTCGGTCTGTGAGTGCGTGTGACTATTAGCTTCTGTTTCTGATGTGTAGTTGGCACCTTGCATGGTAGTGTGAATGGGGTGAATGTGACAGGTAGTGTTAAGTGCTTTGAGTGGTTGCAATACTAGGAAAGCGCTATATACACTAAGTACAGTCCATTTATCATAAGCAGTAGAAGAAAGAAGGAGTTTTTATTTATATCTTTCTCTGTTCTCTGTCAGGACCACGTGGCCATGGCAGGTGTCAGTGTGGCTTCAGTCTCAAGAAGAAGATGGCAGTCCTCTCTGTAGCGGCACTCTGATCAGTCCCTGCTGGGCCATGACGTCTGCGTACTGTGTCAGCAGGTAAATCTGAATTTGCTGACCTATAAATCACTTCCAATGCTGAAGGCATCTTCAGTGTACATGTACAAATCCACCTTGAGTTTCTTCTCTGATCTCTCCTCCAGGTTTGGCAGCGATCCGTCCAGGTACGTGGTGCGTGTTGGGGCATCAGAGCAGACTCTCACCCCAGAGCAGGTGGTGGTTCACAGGAAGTTCAAGGGTCAGAGTGGAGGTCACGATCTGGCTTTGTTGAAGTTACCCAGCTCCAAGGGTCACTGCCTGACCTTTGACCCAAACACCAACGCAGCATGCCTTCCTGCTGCAGACACAGCATCAGGGGGAAATACTCCATCTTCTTGTGTTGTCATGGTTACTGCTGGCTGGAGAGGACCAGGTATGTGTTTTTCTCTCTGTCTTTTTAAACACAAAACAATATTCAGAAGGTATCTAAAAATATATTTTAGATACGACACATACACAACACATTAACAGTTATTCTATCACTTGGCCTTCCCAGGTTGTACTTTGTATTTAGTGCTAATTAGCAAATGTTCAAGCACGCTAAACTAAGATGGTGAACATGGTAAACATTATACCTGTTAAACATCTCATGTTAGCATTGTCAGTGTGAGCATGCCCATGTTAGCATGTAGCTCCAAGCACCACTGTGCCTAAGTACGTCCTAACAGAGCTGCTAACATGGCTGTAGATTCCAAGTTGTGTTGCTTGATAAGTGACTTAAAGGTTCAGTGTGTAATATTTATTAGGATTGATTGAAAAAATGCTATACACGTACCTATGTTTTCAGTGGTGTATAAAGACCTTACTTAATGAACTGTTGTGTTTTTATTACCTTAGAGTGAGCCATTTCTACAAACCGCAGGTTCTCTTACATATTTCTACAGTAGCCTAAATGGACAAATGGCTCTTTGGAGTGTGTTTCGTCACTAAGTTGATTACGTAAGAAGAAGAAGAAGAACAAATAACGTTAGTAGTAGTACTAGTAGCAGTAGTTGACTGGTAAGAAAAGGAGAGGAATTTGGATAAATGGAGGCCCACGCGTATTATTTAGCACAAGAACCGACAGAGCTTGTCGGCCACCTTAGCTTCTCCTGCGCGCTTGGAAAAGGAGGGGTGAGCGGTGCATTAATGTGGTGTCAGAATAATCAGAATATTTTTTCCCTCCTAAATCTCTATTGCAAAAAGAGAGATAAAGTGTACATGGGACATAAAGAAGTATACAGAACAAGATTCGTACAAAATCACGTATTACATATACATATGTTGCAAACATCTAATTTGTAATATGTTTATAACAGTTAGTTTTCTGTCCATGTAGAGTGATGTAGATGTCTGCGTGTTGTTTATATGCTCTGATAATGCTAATCCAACGCATCTTTGTAGTAGCGTCCATGTTGATTCCACATTCCGGCTTAAGAGCACATGAACACACACTGAACACTGGGAAATGGGACCAACCGAGGAGCACGTGAATGCACTGTGATTGCGCTCTCTGGTTGCAATTCGCAACCCTCACCACTAGATGCCAATAAAACACACTGAACCTTTAAACGATTAATTGATAGTCAAAATTGTTGATCAACTAACTGTTTCAGCATTTCTGACATGCCACTAGTTTAATTATCTCATACATCCTCTCTCCTAGACTCAGTTCTTGCATCCTGGGTCCCTCTGATGTCATCATGGCAATGTAAGAAGCGGTATGGCGACAGCTTCTCAAGCCATGGTACCCTGTGTGCCGCCAGTCCTCCGGACACCAGCCTCCTCCATGGGGGCAGTTGTCAGGGCAGTTCTGGAGGCGGGCTGGTGTGTCAGGGGTCGATGGGTCGATGGGTCCTCACTGGGGTTGTCGCTGGGGGTTATGGCTGCGCCGACCCCTCCTCTCCCTCGCTTTACACTCGAGTCAGCCGCTTCAGGAGCTGGATCGAGGAGGTCATCAACACACGAGCACACCCAGAGGAACCGCACACACACACAACGACACAAGAAGATCTGACACATGTCGACAATGACCTAACACACATACACGGGGAACACACACACAGCGAGGGCAAGGATGAATATTCCCACATGCACGGCAAGCTCAAACACACACACAATCAACAGCAAACAAATGAGATCAGCGGTATTAAACAAACACACACTCATCATTCACATACTAATCAGCACGGTAACACACACACTAAAAGCTTGCATACCCACCATGTAGGTGATGCAGACACAAACACACAAATTCTGGTCTGATTGAGGCCGTGCCATTGGCTTACCATCTGTGCCATGTGACCGCCTGAGGAGGAAGAGGAGGAGGAGGAGGAGGAGGAAGGAGAGTTAAAGGAAGACGAAAATAAACTTTAACAGCAAAAGAAAAGAAAGATGCTCCTAACTTAAGTCAGTACAAACAGCCGTCTCTGTGCTCATTTCAAATCTGAACTCGGTGTTGTGAATCCCAAGTGTTTGCGGTTGCTAATCATCGGATGAGTACAGCAGTGTGGGCAGACCTTACTGAGCTGCCAGGATGACAAAGTGTGTGGGTGATTTGTGGTGCTTTACATGTGAGTTACAGCCCGTTAAGAGGCGGAACGACGGCTGATGGGTCGGCAGCGTTTAGGTTGAGCCTGGCATGCTGATCAGGGCCTTTCACTGATACTGAAAATCAAAAAAATCAGCATGGCATGAATTTAAGGGCAATAGTGTTAGCATAAAAAACATTTGGTGGATATTTCTGAGATGGTCACACAAGAATCTATGCTAAAAATTCACCTATTAATGTGTGTCTTCTGTGTGAGCTGCTTAGTAAGAAAAATCATCAACTAACCACCAGAACATCTAGATTAAAGGCTGACTGTCTATCATCACCGTCCCTCTAAGATGATTAATATAGATAAACCAATCTCCTGCATCAGGTGACGCTCAAATTAAGTTTGTATAAAAATTAACATGTGGGTTGCTTTTTCAAACAGGGCTTCTGGCTGTTGTCTAATACCTTTACTGGTGAAAGTGCTGTTTAGACCCTGACTAAGCTATTTAACTTGGGACCATACCAGTGATTTTTCACGCCTGTCTACTTTGAAACCCAAAGTTCAGGGCGCTCCTGTGCTTTTTCATGCAAGTACAGACGAAGTGTTGTTCCCAAGGTCCAAATACGTATAAAAAACTGGAGTTAGATAAATACAGAACGCAATCAGGAAATCAAAAATAATGGAAACACATGTCAGAAGTAAAAACACATCTGCTATACTCAATCTATAGTATAATAATGACACCTTTTCTAAAACGGTTTAAAATGTTTATTCATGGTTAATACATTGTTTACTAGTTATTTATAGTTCAGTTATAAGCATTTAACACAACAGACTTTTGGGTTGCCAGGTTTATAATTATAATTTATAATTAACAGATGCTTTACTTACTTTTTCTCATTAGAAACATAATTTATGTCTCTCACTCATTAGCATTTATAATGCCAGACTTCATATTAAAAAGTGAGACACTCATTATCCTTTATTACCAGGCACCCCAAAAGTTGTTAATGGTTTATAACTGAGCTATAAAGCTATAATCAATTAGCCATTAAAAAGTTAATTAGCTGTATAATGCTCATATCAAAGTCCACAAATAATGAATTTATGTTATGTGTCTCTTTTTTCACTTTAGCCTCATATCAGAAGTGTGGTGATTTCTCAAAAATATTCCCTGCTTTCCAGGAAGTGTTTGGTTTCCAGGAAACTTGTGGAATCCATTACAGTATGTTAAATCTGCATTTATTTTTGTCAAAGTCGCATTATTGTCAAGAGGTAACGCGTTTTTTTTCTATCCAGATCAATTAGACTGGTTTTAAGAGTCTGCTAATTGATTTGTATTCCAAAGGGAACCCCTGAATATGGTTTCATCAACAATTATATAGAGTGTAAACCATTTGCTGTATTTGGAGTTTGGGAGATGAAACTTGCAAAAACACTGGTATGGTCCTTTAAACTGTACAGGACAATAATCTCCTTTCAAAGCCATTGGAAGCTGTCGGGTCATAAATTATCTTTTTGTGCTGATTCCAGCATATGGCTCTAGATAGATAGATGGATAGCTAGCTACTACTCCTGAGTTTAGATAGTATGTGTACTGCATTCATTCTTGACTGAATTAGATAGCCGAACTCTTGAAATTAAATGTTGTCTGTTCTGTTGTACTCTGAGCAGATGTGTGATCTAACCAGAAGATGGCGACGTTGCTCTATTTTCACAGGGCCACCGTTGTTGGATGATATGGCCCTGACGGTTCTTTTTATACTGTTGCTATAAGTGTACGGACTTGACTTGTGCTTTTGATGTACCGTGAACCATTGTGTTGTGAAGCATCTTGTAACCTGCAACCGCTGTTTCTCCAACATGGACCTGTCCAATGCCTGTTGTTATAATCATGTACATAAACTCAATCTTATCACTACTCCTACCTTCCTGAGAATTGATGTTTTATCATGCAGATCCTGTAGGTTAATGTAAATAATGTATGTCTATGGTTGGACAGTGAGGGAGCAATGTAAAGTGTTTAAGGCCTACTTTACCTGTGTTAAACCCTTCAGCTGTTCCTCAGTGTAATGTGCTGAATCATGGTTGAGTATTAAAACATATACCTGGTGAGTCATGTCTTCAGCGTTGGTGTGTCCTTTCTTCTCTGTCATATTCAATAATATGCTTTAATCAACTTGGTTTTCCCTAAAGTATTGGTTTGGTAATGTTAAAGCCACCAAATAAGGATGATTATGTGATATGCAAAGGGTAAGCTGTATTTATTTTAAATTTAAATTTGCATTCAGCATGAAGATGTCTGGAGCAGCTGTTCAGAAATATTTGTTTGTACATAACACATTGTTCTGTTGTTTCTCATAATATAAGTTAAGTAAGTAATTGATCAAATAAACAAATTCTTAAAGCCCCGAGGAAATCATACAGCATTTTCCACACAAAGGTTAGAAGGAAAAAAATGCTTCCCAGATTTTACATGAAAAGTAGCGGTAAAGTTTAGCTGCTGCTGGTAATCTTTTCTTTTGTTTGGAGGGGTTCCTCTCTGAAAAAAAAAGGGGGGGGGGGGGGGGGGTACCTTTGCTGCAGTGGATTGGCGAGTTCTTATTGAAAACTGTAGAAAAAGTGATTATAATAATAATTAAAGTGATTATTATAATGAGCTTAAATGAGCCATCTTTTGGGACATGGCTGAATATTTAGCAATCTAAATGAAAATAGCATCTGTTAATGATTTGTATAAGATGAGCTGCCGTTCTTAGAATAAAATAATGACTATGGGGTGTAAACATAATTGGAGAACAACCCCTGCTCCATTCCGCAGGTGTGACTCATTACAAATTTGAAGTTGAAAAGTTGTGTTTATAATGTTAAATGGCACAAATTTTTCTCTCTCCAATTTATGTATTAAATGACTGCAAACAGGTTATGCATCTTTTTCGTGGCCCTGTATTTTACTCACGCCCAACTTACGTTCAGTAAAGTAACGATACTTTACTTACTATAGAAGTATTCTGTTACTGTTACAAAATGTTACAAAATGTACTTAAAGTATCAAAAGTACTCATAATTCAGAATGACCTTTACTTATAATAATGATAATTAGTATTATCATCCATATTATATGATTTTCATCATTATTATTGATGCATAAACATGTAAGCAGCACTTTAATGTTTGTCTCTTTATGTTACGTTTGGTCGAGGTGGGTCAGTTTAACTCCTTACTACACTGTTGGGTAGTCTCTAAAAATGCATCATACTTTATTTGATAATTAAGTATTACATCTAAAATCTGAACCTACGAAGTAACTAGTAGCTAAAACTGTCAGATAAATGTAGTATGGAAAATGGAAAAGTATCTCAAAAATTGTACTCAGTTACAGTATTTGATATTGTGTACTTACATTTCACCACTGCCCTATTTTATATATATTTATACATTTGTTGTATTAATAAAATTTTGCATACACAGCAGTGTGGACAATAATCCAGAATATGAATTGCAAAAATGAATAAAACAAAGCAGTTTTTGACAATACTTACACATTGTGTGTGTTGTGTATCAGTCATTCAAAGGATTACGGCTGGTAGGAGTGTCACAAAGGGAAGAGCAATGTGAAGAGTTAAGATTATGAACTAACAGACACACTGAAGCATGAAAAGGGTTAACTGCGCCGTCATTTTGTAATTTAAGCTTGCAGGACACGTGTATGGGCTGAATTCACACCCTTGGGTGAGTAGATGCAAGACACACTGTATGTGGGCCCTCAGTTTGACGATAGTTAATACGTTTGTGTGTGCACCTCAAGTCCAATGACAAAGTAGAGTTACTCTAAATTAATCTGGCTTATTCAATGTGTTAGAACATTAGGCGAAAGAAAACACAACCTCACATATTGGTCTGAGAAATGAAAAACAAAAGCCAATACATTTTCCAGGAAATAACGTTGTGGTTTACGTAATGTTGCAGGCATGGCTTTCTGCAGCAGTCTGTTGTGTGAAGTACAGTTTCAGTGAGCTGCCTGGAGGTCTTTGTTGAGCCCGTGTCCATTGCATGTGGCAATAACTTCTGCAAGGCCTGTTTCACAGGAGACCGCAACCACTGCCAGCGCCCACTCTGCAAGGAGACATTCACGAGCAGACCAGACTTACAAACCAACATGACATTCTGAGCAGTCCATGACTATTTTGAAGGGATGCAAGAAAGAAGCATAATGAATCTGCTGCCAAACATGGAGATGAGAGATGAAACCTGAAACACCAAGGCTGCAAAGTTTCGCGTCAAGTGTCTGACATCTTTATGTGAAATTTATCTTAAAGCCTCACCACAGTCACAGGACTAAAGAGACAAACTTGATCCCAAGGTTAAACTGGACAACAGAATGTCCTGCAGCACAATGTTCTTCTGCAGGATAGATACAAGGTGTGTTTGACCATGAGACTCACAAGACTGTACCACTGGAGGTAAAGTGTAACAAGATAAAGACTGCTCTAAGAGACAGAGTATGTGATGATCCAGGAGAAGCTGCAGAAGGTCCAGGAGGCCAAATAACCTGGTGAGGCTCAGCAAGAGGGACGCCCAGGATGACACATCGGCCAGTGTGCAGGTGTTCACTGCTCTTGTTGCCTGAATTGAAAAAATAATCATTTGGGTGATTGAGAAAAAGTGAAGGGCAGTAGAGAGCTGGAGCAACATATCCATTTCCTCCTGAGAGTGTCATCTCTCTCCAGCCTTCCACACAAATCTTGGCGGAGCACCATCTCTGAACTCGAGGAGACTGTGAGATGAGAAGTTTGAAGAACTTTGAAGACAAGTTCATCAAAGAAATGCAGAAGTGGTTTTGTCACTATATGTGGATGTAACTGTGGTACTGGATACTGCACATGGTTCCCTCTCTCTCTCCAACGATGGTAACAAGGTCAGGGAAGACAAGTGGCAAAAGAACAACTGGGTTCATCAGTTATCGCAAGGGAAGGATAGATTTTAATTTTGAGTTGCATGTGAAATGGAAAAACATGGTCCATCAGAGTTATTAGAGTCTGCCAACAGGAAGAAATGGTTTCCAATGTCAACTGAACATGGATACTGAACAACAGAGCAGGAAGATGGTTATAAAGCCAACACTGCTCCGTTGGTTGTAACGCATGTAAATCATGCTGACTAGGACGTCTGACACATCCCATGAAAAGACCAAAACAAAACAAAATGTGATAGTTTGCCTATTATTTCTCTAAAGAATGCTAACAACTGCTGGGAAATGTAGTTTTTACAAAACACTAGTCAGACAAGCGTAAAAAGTGCATTTTGTAGGGACTATTGTCAACAACAGATGAATAAATGCAAGTGTTTATGGCAGCAGGACTGTGTCAAGGGATTGACTCAAAATAAAGTACTGCCCTTGTTCATGGTCACCCAGTGCGACAGTGTGGTTAATTTGTGTTTTTAATAGTTTTGGACAACAGTGGAGCTCTACTGTATGGCACAGAGGAAAAATCTTCATCAGGCTTGGCAACACAGACCGTACCAGTTAGTAGGATCTATTCATTGTTAGTTATGGTCTATGAGGGATTTTGTGGTACAGATCAATGGTGAGCTATACACTTTGATTTACATCCAGGTAACTCATTACTTCCCTGTGTCTCGTCACCATTGTGTAATCACTGTATAGGTACAGCGTAGCCCCATAATGCAAAAGTATTAAATCCAGCTTCAGATGACAAGATTGATACCACTGTATTGTAAATATATAGCTACAGCAAGGAGACAGTTAGCTAAGCTTAGCATAAAGACTGGAGACAGGGGAAAACGCTAGCCTGGCTCTAAAGGTACAATTAATCCTCCCATCAGCATCTCCACAGCTCACTACTAACTATATCTGGCCTGTTGTCTGGCAACCTCAAGGACTCCAGGAAGTCACTGCACCCAGCAAAGATATAGTCTGCACATTATCTTCTGAAAAACGCCAACTTCATGTTTTTAAACTTTACTGAGAATTCAACAAACAAGATACAATTAATTAGTGAGGATTTAGAGGAGGCTCTGTTGGGCAGATTTTCTTTTTACCTATATACAGAGCCAGGTCTGCTGTTTCTGTTTCCAGTCTTTGCGCTAAGCTAAGCAAAGCAAACAGTCTCCAGGCTGTAGCTTCATATTTAGTATACAGACATGAGAGTGGTATTGATCTAAAAAAATAAGGTCTGTGATGGAAAACAAACCTATTTAACTTATAAATGTGGTTAACATAATCTCACCAACACCTAAACAAATCTCAACTGCAGCTCCTGACTGACCACAGTCCAAATAGTTTAGGCCTTCAAAAACAAGGAAAAGAAAAGAAAAAAGAGGGATGCAACCCTTCCCTTTGCTTTATCTGCAACAGAAAGGTGGAGAAAGACGATATAGCATGGTCGCGTCAGTGAGCCTTGTTTAAAAAAAACAATTAAAAAAATGTCATTGTTTTTTCAGCATGTGTCATTGGTGAGGTGTTGCTTATAAATGATTGGAAACATGATAAACAAAAAGGGAACCTGTCCTTTAAGACCTTAGCAAAGTCCAAAGTAATTTAGATTCAAGGGACTCATTCTGGGTCAGCTTTTCTCCTAATTTTATTGACACAAAGAGTCGGGAGGTCAGAGAGCGCTAACAAGACAAGAGACATTCCCTTAAGAATTTCTCCCTTTTTGTGTCTTTGAGAAAGTAAGTCTGAGTGTCGACGCTAACCAACTTCTGAGCTCTCCTCATTAATCACATAGAAAGCAGAGGAACCAGGGGGAGCTGTCCTATATCCCAGGGACACACACACACACACACAGGCTCAATCCTTAAAATAACTGGAACCATCATAAATAACACCACAAAACCTTTTTAAATAAGGCTGCAGCATTACTCGACACTTCACAGTGCTCAGTAAGACAGCACAAAGGCTGAAGTGGTGAGATGAGATGATGCACGAGCTGCTGAATGGACAGCAGCGATTGTTTTATCCTGTGTATGTTAATGGCCTCGAGGCTATGCAGTGTTATGCAGTTTAATCTGACTTTAAGTGATGACAGGCAAGTATGGAGGGCAAATATTACGCCAGCTGTGATGCCGGGTGGTGTTCAGAGCATCCAGCCAA